AAAATCAATCGTAAAGAAAATAATTAAAAATAACGCGCTTTTCCACGCCGTTTAAAAATCGTTTCGACATATTCCTTTATATTTTTTCATATATAATATATATTTATCATACAAATTCTAGAGACTCAACTAAAACATAAAATTAATCTACTAATTACTAAAAATTTTGATTTATTCAAGTTGTAAATTATAATTCGATTATAACTTAATTTTTTTCGAATCAGATTAAATTTATGAAATTACAACTCGAAATTAATTTAAATCGAGTTTTCATGAACTCAATTATTTATATAGTTATATGGTAAAGGTCTTCGAAACATTTGAAAGAAAATCAATAAATATTGTTTAAGAATCTATTTTCTACCTAATGTGTTTCTTAAATTGATAAAAAGATGTTAATGTGATCTTTTAATTAACAAAAATCGTTATTTATCTTTATTGTGTTGTCTTGATATGATAATTCAAAGTGTTAACGTAGTAACTCTAGAGACGGAGTTAGGAATTTTATAATAAGGCGTTATAATTTCAAATTATGATATCTAAATAAAATCATATAAATTAACGAATAATATTAAAATTTGATAAATTAATATAAAAAATAGTTAAATTAACATAAAAAATAGTTAAATTAACAGAAGATTGTTACAAAGTTATTAAAACAATAACCAAAAGAGAACATACATACGTATTAGGGGAGTTCATTTTTCAGTTCTAATCGAATTGATCGATCGATATGAATTAATTCAGTTAAAACAATCGGCCACCATATTATTTCGGTCAGGAAAAATTAAAAAATTTCAAAATTCAGTTAACTTTTAATTTTATTTTAAATAGATTAATTAATTGAATTAACAAAAAATATTAAATATCATATATATTTTAAGCTCAAATCTATTAAGAATTAAGATTCAATTGTTTTTTAATCACACTAGACCCATCAGATTATCAAGATCTAATTAAATTTTGACCCAAATAGAAAATATCTATATTGAATTCAAATTAATTTAATAAAAAAATATATTAAAAATTTGATTAACTCAGCCACCGATTGAATTGACTAAACTTTATTCTGTTCGATTTGGTTAACGAGTAAAAAATTGATTAATTAAATTAATAAAAATTCGATTCAGTCGGTGACTGAATTAAACAAATGAAAACTCTTAATATATACGGTGTCAAAACTTTTTTAAAAGGGGTGTCACTTTTTAATTTTATAATATATATAATTTATATAGGAAAAAATTTGAAATTTTTTGGGGTGTCAATTAACACCGTTCAATAATTGTTGGCTCCGCTTACACTGTATAAAATTATTTTAGTTTTACACTTTTTTAGGATGATTGTATTGATGACTTTTATTTTTTTTCCAACAAATATTTTATCATTACCCTTCAATTTCTCTCATCCAATGTTTTTAAAAATATATAAAACTAAAAGAGTTTTATACAGTGTAATTAAATCTTACCATATATATGTATATATATATATCAAGCTCGTTCAGTGACAAGTGTTATTGGAAATATGACAAAAAAATTATAAACAAAGATTTTGAAAATATCTTTAATTGTTCTCTTGATGAAATTTGATAAAAAATCTCGTAGGTCTATCGTAATTTCAAATTTAAATCTTTATTATAAAATATTTTAGGAGTCTCATTTCAAAAAGTAATAAACTCCACATCATTTGAGAGAGACTTGATATATATATAATTGTATTTAATAAAATAGAAACTTAATTAAATAATCATGTAATATAAAAAATAGTATTATAATTATTCTTAAATATATAAGATATAATTTTTATGAGTCAATTATTTATCATTTTAAACTTGAACCTATACTCGAAAAAATTTGATCCAATTTAATTTGGGTTTAATTATTAAAAAAAAAAACTCAATCTTTTTTAATTTGAAAGATAAATGAGTTTCATTAAAAATCTCTTCTACAACACAAGATTAAGATTATATAGAGAGAAAAGAGTATCCATCGATTCATTAATCATGACGGTAACAAATCGTTCTTTATATCACTATTGAGGAACACGAGATAAATCGATAAAAAATATTAGAGTCAAGTGTTCTTTTAACTAATCTATGAGTCACTCGATATATCTCTAAGTACATAAAAAATAATACAACTAAATTAAATACAATTATCGCATATGAATTCCTAACGTAAATCATCAACGTCCCCACTATTGAACTTGTTAACCACCATCGTTGAATCTAGCTCAATATTGATACAATGCCACCCCTCTTCCATGGCTAGATTGTCGACAACAACCAGATCGTATAACTCCGCTAGCCTTGAATCAAAACAACCAACAGACGTGATAGGCAGACCACCTAAAATCGTACCCCTAGCGTCTCGAACAACGACGCCCACCACAGCAAGTCCGGTGGCGGGGTCAATCTAATAAAATTAAATCAGATTAGAAACCGTCATACTCAAGTCTTTTTCCATCCTTAGGTGGGCCAACCCCAACCTCCTTATTTGTTCTAAAGGAAAGGGCAAACGGCAAAGCATTAAAATGGGTGCATGAATGTGCAAATAATATATCTATCCATCGATTTCGTATCGTTTGAAGTTGACCCCATCCTATTAATGTCTTCACCGAAGGACACAGCCCTTTGTTGGTATAATTATCCAATTTTCAATTAAAAAACATATAAACCAATTATTTATCTTCAATATCTATGTGTACGGATACGAAATTTATTACAAAATCTTCTGATATTTATTTATATATGATTTGGTAGTGAGTGGAAGCTGGGTGATTGTTTGTATGTTGGTGCTTTCATTTTGGCTTTATGGAGTAATTAATGGTTTTTGTTTGAGTCGGTAAATTGAATTTGGTGCTCTGTTGCCCACAAAATTGACCGGTTTGAAAATGAAACTTTTCATAATTATTTATTTATTTCATTTAATATATTTTTAAAATATATTTCATATTTTAAATTTATTAAGTGAATTCAGTAATATAGAAGAGTATTATTTTTTTTGATGTCTCGAGTTTAAATAATTTTGTCTGTAAATTATGCATATGCTATCAATAACAATTTTTTTAATAGATATTATCTTATAATTATTATATATTAATAAAAAAATTTACTTCATATCCGATCTATTGATCGACTAATTCGAATGGAGTACTATAGAGACAAGACGACCATCCCAATCCATTTTACTTCATTTGTAATCAAGTTTTTTTACTATTTATAATCTATTCAGAATTTATTGTTATCTTTTATAGTAATATCATTTTGAGTATTTCAATTTAAATTTTATCCGGAAAGTATATATGTATTATTAGTGTACCTACTATTAACTTAAACTTCATTATTATTATTTAATTTAAAAGTATACTATTATTGTTTAATTTAACCTGAATAATTTAAAATTAAATAAAGTTATTTTTTGAAAGTTTAAACATAAAATAATTGCTCAAATTATTCTGTGTTCACGAATTGATCTCTAAACTAATTTTTGAATCATCAAAGTGTTTAATGATATAAATATTATTCTTTTAGGTGTATTGATTCTAACGACCGTTAAAAATTCCGTTAAGTGACATTTGTCATAATCTGATAATTTTAAAAATTTATTTTTTTAAAAAAAAACTTAAAAAATATTTTATTTTCTAAGAAATTCCAATTTTTATAAAATATAAAAAAGCACAAACTCTTAAAATTTCTTATTCTACTCACCTTTACAGTAGTTGCCAATCATCTCCAGTCACCCATTCGTCAACGACCAATCACTCATACGTTGCCGACCACAAACTAACATATCACAACCCTTACTATCATCTCAAAACTCAAAATTTTTAAATCTCTACATTTTAATCTCTAATCCTTAAAATCCAAATATTCAATCCTTTAAATTTCTTTGATTCGATCGTAATAATTGACCGTTCAATCATTTGTTTGGCCTTGGAAAAACCATGGAAACAGGAGAGGGAGAGGGTGGGACTTGAGTTAGATTTTTTTAAAAAATAAAAAAAATAAAATTTTAAGATTATGAAGTGTCTAATAAGATTTTAATGATCGATATGATCGAAATATCTAAAGTGATAACGTTAAATACTTTAGATGATTCAAAAACTAATTTAAAGATTAATTCGTGAAAAATGGGTATAATTTAGACAAATATTTAATCCTTTTTTAAATAGAGTTGCAATTTATTGGCCTCTAAACTTGAGTTCAGTGAATCAAAATGAACAGGCAGTCGAACAGTGTCTAAAACAGCTGCTTCTTTTTTCAGAAAAGTTCATTTATAGTACGATTCGAATCTTTGACCCCCCCTTATTTTATTTTTGTTTTATTTTTATTTTTGCTGAAAAAAATTTCGAGTGGAGTTTCCCCACTCGCCATGCGCTACGGGGTCCACAAATCACCGACGCTCAACAATTTACTTCAATAACTAATGAAAATTCAAATATCCACATATAATTATTGTCTTTACAAATTTAAATATTATAAATTTAAGTAATATTATATATGGACATCCAAAACTATTGTTCATAATGAATTCGAGACGAATATTAGTGTTAACTCTTAAATATTCATTACCTACAAACTTGATTCCGATAATTTAATTAATTATTTGATAATTTAATTGTTTAAATTTCAAAGTATATGTTGGACGAAATTGAACATTAAAACAATAATTCAAAGATTTGCAGAAATCATCAATATTCGGATTAGAGCATGTACAAAAATTGTTTGTTCGTGACCAAACAAGATTTGAAATGGTCTGATAGCCCGTACTTTTCACTATAATTACCAATCAATTAATTCGGATTAGATACTGTAAAAGCCTATTATGAGATCAATTCTCTCAACTTAATTTGTTTAATTCAAAATATCAGGATTTAAACTCTTAGTCTTGTTTTAAAAAATCCAATATCTCGTTTCACTAGATCAACTGGTTATTCATCCGATATGCAAAAGACCCCGCAGCTTCTTATCACTTTCTTCTACCTGAAAGAATGGTGGATTGATTGAAAGCCGTACATGCAATGTGCCATATGTACAGAGCTGAAAAATGTGGGAAATGGGCTCCCGAATCTTGGATCCCAATGAACAAAAATATTTTCGATCATCTACAACGACGATTGTGAATCTCTTCCTCGAGGAGTCGAGTCACAAGGTCTATATCCATAGTTGGCCTTTTCTCACTTAAAATGCTACAAAGTGAGTGTAATTCTTCAGAGTTCGCCTTCTTGAACAGACTCTGAGTAGTGTGTCAACTTCACCGGACACGCAAATGTTCCGAGGAGGCCCTACATTGTTTTGTTCCCCGGATGTTCTAACTACATTGCCCGCATTACCAGGGAGGTGAGAATGTTGCAGAAACTGCACTTGCAGCCATAAGACCGAGAGTCCCAATACTCGGTACAAACTCGATTTTGATCCATTGCCTCAATGGCCTGGTTTATTATGTTAAGCAAACGATAGCTGAGTTTTACTTCATCTGTTAAGCATACGAGAAATGGAGGTCGAGGGAACCAAATATAGTCTACTAACTAATTTAACTGAACAATTTCGGGTGAAGAAAAGCCAAACATCTCAAAGCCATCGAGGCTGCAATGGCGGGAGGTTGGTTTTCCCTTGTCTATGTTGCTTCGTTATCTCTTGATTCACTCTCTCTCACCATCTCCCAGCATCTGGCAGCTGAAACATGAACGAATACTTCACCGGGATAGTGCTCCACCGATACCTGAAACGAAATCAACATTAAGGCCATGCATGCTGAAAAACACCATGAAAACATTTTCTAACATTATCGAATACAAGTCGAAGCATAACCAGGTAAGAGAAAAAAATTGTGTAATTAATAAGATTGTGGTACAAAAACATAGTTGATAGAATAAAAATTTTCGATTACCATGAACAGAGGTTCATCCCTCTCTGCATCCAAAATTTCCGAGACATAGTAAGCCATATTTGTCGGATCTAAAACACTAATATATCTAACCCGGCTCTTCAATCCTGCATTCATACGAACAAATGAGTAAATACATCTACCTGCCAATACCTATCATATAAACAACAATGCAACATACCTTTTGGGAAAATGGCCTGGCTGTTACACCATAACTTCCCCGAGAGCACAGTTCCAAAACTATTGTTCATAATTCGAGACGAATATTAGTGTTAACTCTTAAATATTCATTACCTACAAACTTGATTCCGATAATTTAATTAATTATTTGATAATTTAATTGTTTAAATTTCAAAGTATATGTTGGACGAAATTGAACATTAAAACAATAATTCAAAGATTTGCAGAAATCATCAATATTCGGATTAGAGCATGTACAAAAATTGTTTGTTCGTGACCAAACAAGATTTGAAATGGTCTGATAGCCCGTACTTTTCAATATAATTACCAATCAATTAATTCGAATTAGATACTGCAAAAGCCTATTATGAGACCAATTCTCTCAACTTAATTTGTTTAATTCAAAATATCAAAATTTAAACTCTTAGTCTTGTTTTAAAAAATCCAATATCTCATTTCACTAGATCAACTGGTTATTCATCCGATATGCAAAAGACCCCGCAGCTTCTTATCACTTTCTTCTACCTGAAAGAATGGTGGATTGATTGAAAGCCGTACATGCAATGTGCCATATGTACAGAGCTGAAAAATGTGGGAAATGGGCTCCCGAATCTTGGATCCCAATGAACAAAAATATTTTCGATCATCTACAACGACGATTGTGAATCTCTTCCTCGAGGAGTCGAGTCACAAGGTCTATATCCATAGTTGGCCTTTTCTCACTTAAAATGCTACAAAGTGAGTGTAATTCTTCAGAGTTCGCCTTCTTGAACAGACTCTGAGTAGTGTGTCAACTTCACCGGACACGCAAATGTTCCGAGGAGGCCCTACATTGTTTTGTTCCCCGGATGTTCTAACTACATTGCCCGCATTACCAGGGAGGTGAGAATGTTGCAGAAACTGCACTTGCAGCCATAAGACCGAGAGTCCCAATACTCGGTACAAACTCGATTTTGATCCATTGCCTCAATGGCCTGGTTTATTATGTTAAGCAAACGATAGCTGAGTTTTACTTCATCTGTTAAGCATACGAGAAATGGAGGTCGAGGGAACCAAATATAGTCTACTAACTAATTTAACTGAACAATTTCGGGTGAAGAAAAGCCAAACATCTCAAAGCCATCGAGGCTGCAATGGCGGGAGGTTGGTTTTCCCTTGTCTATGTTGCTTCGTTATCTCTTGATTCACTCTCTCTCACCATCTCCCAGCATCTGGCAGCTGAAACATGAACGAATACTTCACCGGGATAGTGCTCCACCGATACCTGAAACGAAATCAACATTAAGGCCATGCATGCTGAAAAACACCATGAAAACATTTTCTAACATTATCGAATACAAGTCGAAGCATAACCAGGTAAGAGAAAAAAATTGTCTAATTAATAAGATTGTGGTACAAAAACATAGTTGATAGAATAAAAATTTTCGATTACCATGAACAGAGGTTCATCCCTCTCTGCATCCAAAATTTCCGAGACATAGTAAGCCATATTTGTCGGATCTAAAACACTAATATATCTAACCCGGCTCTTCAATCCTGCATTCATACGAACAAATGAGTAAATACATCTACCTGCCAATACCTATCATATAAACAACAATGCAACATACCTTTTGGGAAAATGGCCTGGCTGTTACACCATAACTTCCCCGAGAGCACAGTTCCAAATTCCAGCAGCTCAACATTACAGTTTATCCTACGCACTACCTTAGCAATGAGAGGACCTTTCTGCTGGACGTTTCTGTCCAGATTATTTTGAGAGCAAGAAATCCCTCCTACATTACCTCTTCTATTGTCAACTAATTTGCAGAGGCAATGACTCCCACCTTCTCATGTTTATCCTTGTCAACATTTTCACTAACCAAAGGCAGCAGACGCTGAAGGTTGCCTTCAACAATCGATGGTTTGTTCTTGTCATCATCCTTCTCTATGGTATTACAAGAATCCTGAACACCTTTACCAGAGTCTGGAGTGGCAGATTCTGAACGACAAAATATATTCTGGTGATTAGATCCTACTGATGTGATACTGTTTTCAGCTTGCTCATCTTTCATGTGAGAATAATGAGACGAGCTACTAGTCTTCTGTACATCAGGGGAATTGGCATCCTTTTGATTCACCACAGCATCAGTTAGAGGGGTAGTTAAGATAGCCTCATTCTTGTAATTATACGTGCTCGCTTTTTCACCAGATGGTGCCAGCCTCAGCGAGGTTTCCAAATGCTCTGTGACAGAATCTTCATTTGGTCTTTTTGAAACTGGATTCTCAGATTCGTAACTAATAAGAATGTTATTATTATCTCGTGGAGCTGAAGGTTTCTTCACTCTACTTGCCATGGCAGTTTGGCCTCCGGGCATGCTTAAGCTTGAAGAAGAAAGAACATATTCCCCTTTCTTCAACTTAGAATTTGGATCTTCTGATGGTAATGCAGCATCAGATAGTTTATTTCTTGGTAGCAATAACATCTGAGCAGAAGTTTGAGACAAAATCGAGGGTTTGTTTTTCGACATTTCTTCTCCTGGTAATTCTTTGGAGGAAATGACTGATGGATTTGTCACTTCTTTAGGTACTCCTTGAGTATGGGATAGCCTACCACCTATATTGTCCTTGGTTACATATGAACTCAGGGCCAGCCCAAGGTCTAGTCTTGCCCACCTATATACTGCACTTAGTTTTCCTTCCACTGCTTCAACAAGGATATTTAATTCATTTACATCATATCGAAATAGGAAAATTTCGGCACCCTTAGCACATGAGCAGAACTGCTTTGCATGTCTCAAGCAAGCATATCTATCAGGGGAGCAACGACAACCTGTTGAAGAAAGGTGCAAATCGAAAAAACATATACTGCATTCTCGCTCACTGGCAGCATCAAAACTGCTCTCCATTTTCACAGCTTGAGAGGAACTGCAAAGACATTCCCTGCTCATACGCTCCATCTCAACACGTTTCTGTAAGAAATAAACATATATAAAGTCTGTCAAAATCAACCAGAGTTACTATTAAGCATTGCCTATATCCTAATAAGTTCACTAAATAAATATTAGTATAAGACTGATAAACATGAATTCTATTTCCGATTTTGAATTGGAGCTAAATTAATTGCCAGATAGAATTTATTTTATCAACAGCATAAAAATAACCTTTAACAGATTAGTGTCTATATGCACAAATACAGTAAACGTGGAAGTATACATGCATGAATCTATCTACATTCATATGCGCATAAATATTTAGAGCTCATAATCACAAGCTTTTTACAGCATTAAAGATTTGGGATCAACAATTCTCTAGAGATTGGACCAATCCAAAACCACTTAAAAAGTTTATCAAACATTAAATTTGAATCAGATGAACAGTTCTAACTATAAAATTTACACAGTTCAAACCCAGATCATATACAGAGATTCTGAACCGACTAAATAAGAATTCATAAAATCCCACCAAATAAATTAGCCCAAAGAAAAATAACAGACATAACTTACCCTGAGAGTGTTAGCTAATACTCCACCCTTTCCACATAAACCTTTCCAACTTAAGTTATCAGAAGTATACTTCTTCAATAAGCTGAGCTCCCAGTGGGCTTTGACTGCTTCCCTTGCTGCTCCAAGGAACATTCTGTCATGTGAGATGGAAGTTTTCCTTCCCTGTTCATGGTATAACTCAATAGCAATCTGCCCATGTGGCAACCAGTCAATAGGAGCTACATTTACTGCTTCTGCACAATTGAAACCATAGTTGAACCCTGCATGATATGCCCTAGGGAATGTTAGAACAAACTCTCCAGCATTCTGAACATATCGATAAACAGGAACCCCTTCAGATTTTAGTATAGCAGGGGATAGCTGGGTGACCTGCATGAAAGAATGACATTCAGGGCGTAATTTGTATCATGAAGTAATATTACAGTAATTAAGCATAACTTGGAAAAGAGAAGATCTTACGATCCACTCCATTTGCACCATGACATACAAATTTGTTATGCATCCACTCCATTTACTTTTAAGTGGTCTATTAGTATAGTGAACCAAAGCATCCTAGCCCGTCTCAGATATCCAAACTAGAAATGAGACTAGAGGCAGTATAATTCAGTTTGTATATTACCAAAACTAGTTCAGGCTTAAAAATTCATTTTGTTACTGGCTTGGTAAGGCCTATTTGTGATCTCTCAAAAATTAGAAATTTTAATTAATGATCATTATAGCCAGTACCCTTTGAATGTTTGAGCCAGGTTCAGCTTAGAACTGACCTTATCGAGCTTTTTCTTTTTTTTTTTTTTGGGGGGGGGGGGTGGGGGATTCTTTGTAAAACATGCTATCGTAATAAAGAGCTATCGGGATTATCTAATAAGTTAAATTCGAGAACAAATAGTATCTTTTGACACATTTGGCTTCTTAGTACATTTGACAAACTCCAAAACAGTTAAATAAAGTCACTTTTAGCTACAATTACAAATATAAACACCATATTATAAATCTTTTAGCTTACCAGTTTGTGAAGCAGGTCAGGCAAATGCTTTTTCATAGTCTCCTCCAGTTTAGGAGCATCCTTTCCAGGGACACCATACCATACTTTTGGAGCACCACAATGCATGTAATTCAGTGAGTATAGGTGCTGATCTTCAACATGCTAGTCCCATCCACATAAAACAAATGGGAAAAATAGCAATATTAGCAATCCGCAGGTCATCCATTATATTGTAATGGCCTTAAACATAAATTCAATAACTCGAAATTTCAAAAGAATCATTTATTGGGTAACATCTAAGAAAACATAAAACCATATCCGCACACTGGGCCAGGTGGCAAAATATTTTGTTAAGAGTTTCTTCCATTATTTTGGTAACAAATCCATCCAACGTTTGACAAAACCATCCTGGAATCACTTTCAGGCATACCAACCTCTTAACTATTCTTATTATGCCAAATTGAAGGTACACGATTTATGGGAGAACCAAATGAAGAATAATGTTTACCCAAACAAAATAAATTGACATGAATTTCATTTTCACAAGCTAGGCTAACACAAAACTATAAAAAAAAAATAAAAGAACCGAGTT